AAATCATCTGGTGTTTGTCTTTCTCAGACTGGCTTATTTCGCTTAGCATAATTCCCTCTAGGTCCTTCCATGTTGTTGCAAATGGAATGAATTTGTTCTTTTTTCTGGCTGAGTAGTATTCCATTGTATATATACACACCACATCTTCTTTATCCAATCATCGGTCGATGGGCCAACAGTCTCCTCTTTTATTAAGCTTGCCTTGTATTTGTGGAGACAAATCTGTGGTGGTTCCTGAGCTTAGTGGAGGGAGGCATTAGTCTGTTGCAGTCAGGCAGGAGAGGACATGAAGAAAGCAGTGATGAGTGGGTGATATTTTAGCTGTGTATGGTCTATTTAGTTGGCGTTTTTTTCCATTTTTCCAGATTCTCTCTCTCTCTTTTTAAATTATTTTATTGAGATCACATTGGTTTATAACATGTAAATTTCAGGTACACATCATTATATTTTGGCTTCTGTATAGACTGCATGGTATTCACCACAAGTTGGCTTTTAATTTCAGGCTCCATGAATTGTCATTGGAGGGAATAGATTTTATGGAGGATAGACTTAAAGAACCTCAGGACTCCTCAGAATGGAAAGATGAACGTCAAAAAACATGTAGTCAGTTTGTGGAGTCATAGAGGTACACATAAACTTGCTCACTCACTAAGCCCAAAGATGGTAACAGTAGGCTGCGCTTCTTGAGGCCAGAGGAGTTGGTTTTTAAGGTCCTCCAAGAATGAATCCAAGGGAACTGGGAGATCAGGAGTCAGGCTTTGACTGTGCTCTGACTACCACTTTTGGATGGTATGCTCCCCAAAGCTATTGACTGTGTATAAAGTTTCATCTCTTTCAATGCTTGTCAAGGTGTTGAGCACACGGTGGACTCACCTAGTAGTCTAGGCGCCTTGTAGGTACCTGCTAAGAGTGTGGAGCACAACTGCCTCTGCGTCATCCGTCTTTCCATCCGTCTTCTTCCTTGGCACTGGGAACACGGCAGAGTAATTCCTTATTGGCTTGTCTGTCTCCTCCACAACCTTGTAAACCATTGGGGGCCCAGGTCTTATTTAACTCTGTTTTTTTTTTCTTTCATCCTTCCCTTTGAATGCTTAAAACTGAAAGTGGATCCAATTACTTTAGCAGATGCTTTTAAAAGAGAGGTCCTTGGCACACACCTTGTGACCCCTGCTTTGGGAGGTAGGGAAGAAAGTTACGTTCAGTCCGAACTTTTTGGACACATATATGTGGAAATTTTGTGTAATTTTGAATGTATATTTTCTCTCTGTATAATCATGGCTGGAAATAAATGTAGAGAGGAACAGAATGTGTTTTCCATACTTGACAGTGTATGGTCTCCGCAGTTTTCCGTCTTGCTTTTTCCCATCGTCGCTGGAGTGCTATCGCCAGGCTGTCCCAAATTGTCTACCACTGCCTTGTTTTTCGCATCACTTGTGGCTGTGGTGTTTGAGAAGGCCGATGGCTGTTGAGGCATTTTCTGGAGCATCTCTGGCTGGCTAATTTGAGATTAGCCCCTGTGACTGCAAAGGCATTAATTAACAATTATATTTCCATTTCTTGAACACTCACTGGGAGTTTTAGGCCTATGCTATCTGTACACATTATTTCATTTAGTCTTCCCAGCAATCATAGTTAGATTTTATTATCCTCATCAATAAGGAGAGTACCAAAGCTAGTAATGTGTGGATTTGGGACTGGAACTCAGGTCCTTCTGATTCCTGTCAGTGTTCCCTCCCTATACCATTCTGCCAGATAGCCAGGGGACTCTTCCTCTGTCTTGAGTTTCTTGGTAATGTTACCACTTTCCTTCTTTTTAGTAGAAGAAAATAAGTCTAAACTTACTTTCGACTTAGAACTAGAATGACGAATTAACATTTGACTTCCCCAGAGAGTCCATCTTGTGAGTAGAGCTACTCGAGTAGACTTTGAGCCACTTCCCTTGGAACTTCGTGGAAATGTCTGGGCCCTGGGCTCAGCCTTTGTGACCTTGCAGCCAACTGAAAAATTAGAGCCAAAGACGTGCTGATTGATACTCCCTAAGAGAGCAGCAGGTTGGAATGAATTTGGGATTTGATTTTGTTTCTGAGTTTTATGAGGATCTTGGCCTAGAATTTTTCCTGGGACCGTTTTCTAGTCCCCAGATTCCTGGCTGTGGGTATCTGTGCTCACCTAACATGGGCTTGGTCCTGAGGCCCACAGGGCCTGCGGCTGGTGAGGAGCTTTTTAGTCAAGTGTCTGCCTGGGGCTCTGAAGCCATTGTGCCCAAGCATTTCCATTAAGAGGATCTTTTAGGGCTTGAAGTGATTGCAATTCCACTTGTAATATAGTATTTATCATTTGGCTTGTCATTACATTCAAATGCTTTAAGACGAATGAAAGAGTATGTCACTGGTCAGCGTATTACAACCTTTCATCTTCAGTAGGGTCTATGAAGCAGTCAGTGGGAACTCTGAGGGAGTGGAGGCCAGGGCTGGTGCTCTTGGCCTGGCTGTCACCTTTCTTTAGATGGCAGCCTCACTGAGGGCACTGGCTGAGATCACTATTTGTGTTTTCTTCCCCAAGCTCTTCTATCATATTTAGCCCACAGGTCTGGGAGTGTCCAGGTTTGTGATGAAGGCATCAAGCACTCCCGCCTCTCCTGTGTAGATCTCCTCAGTCCTCTGCCCATGGCTGGCGTCTCGCTGCACGGGAATCCCTCTGCACCTGAGCTGTCCGCTCCTGCAAAGCAGAGGCTGCGTCCTCCTCAAATCTCAACATCCACGGATCCTAGACCTAGACAGAAAGCCTGTAGAAGAAAACATAGGCGAATATGTTTGCAACCTCGGGGTAGGCACAGGTTTCTTAGGCAAGGTTGTAGAGAGCGTTAACCATAGAAGAAAAAATTGATAAATTGAGCTACTTCACAATTTTTGCTTATCAAAAGACTCCCTTAGGAAAATAAATGAGCAGCAGAGTGGGGGAAAATATTTTCAAAGCATATATGACTAAAGATTTACATTCAGAATATATAAAGAACTCCTACAACTCAATAATAAGACAAATGAAGTAGTTTAAAAAACGATCAGAAAATTTGAACAAACGCTTTGCAAAGGAAGATACACAAGTGGCCAGTAATCATGTGAAAAAATGTTCCATATCATTAGTTATCAGGGAAATGCAAATTAAAGCCGCCAGAATGGCTAAAACGAAAAAGACTGATAACATCAAAGGTGAGCATGTGGCCCAGCAGTGACTCTCATACATTGTTGGTGTGAGTGTAGAATGGTGGCACTGCTGTACAGAAGGCCTGCAGTCCTCTGGGCCGGGGCGGGAGTGGGCAGAGACTAAGCATGAACACGAACAATGTAGGAGAAGAGAGAAATGGCATGATAGAGTGCAGAGTGGCTATGAGAATTTAGAGAAAGAAGCGGCAACTTACAGTGAAGGGCATCAGGACTAACTTGGCGAGGTGGCCTTGGAATGGATCTTTGCAGGAGGAGTCGGCCCTGGAGCTATGGGGTGGGAAGAGGAGCCCTAAGGAGAGAGATGACAAACTGGGAGCTGAAGGGGGAAGACACATGTATCCTGCCTACTTGTTTTTCCATTCTGCCTAGAATATCCTCGCATAGTTGATTCCTTTCTGTTCCCTATCTAAGGGAGAGTCTGCTCTCATAGTACATTTCATTGCACTTAGAGTAACAATTTTATTTCTTTGTTCACTTATTGCCATCGTCTCCCCCCGCCCCCCGCCCCGGTTCTAAGTGGGACTTAGAGGTCAGGAGCTTGTCTGTTACTAGCATGGAAGCCTCCCGAGGGCAGGAGTCCTGGCCTGGTTTGTTCTCTGCTATATCTCCAACCACAATATTGGTGGCCGCAGAGAAGGCATTCAATAAACACGTGTTGGTAGAAAGAGAAAACCAGTGAAGTAGAGTGGTTGCATTTGGTGAGGTCATAGGTAGGCAGTGGGGCCTAGAGTTACAAGGGCGCATTGGGGCGACCTCAACAGGTCCTGGTGTGTAGAAGGCATGTGGCCTCCATGGTGTAGTGCTGAAGGGTTTCTGAGTGTTCTGAGATGGAAGTGATAGGCTCTGAACTGTGCTTCAAGAATATTGGTCTGGCAGCTGCATGTGGATGGATTAGGGAAGGCAGAGAAAGGTGGTAAGTCTTCCAGGTGAGAGCTAATAAGGGCCCAAGTGAGGGCATGGCAGGAGCGTGGAGGAAAGGGATGGCTGGGAGGGACTGAAGAGCGCTGATTGGCAGGGCTTCCAAACTATGCTCTGTACTCACAGAACTGTCTGGGAAGCAGATTTATTGTCAAGGGCGGGAGAGGCAGAGAACTGCTTCCTCAAGTAGTGTAGCCTTGAGCAACAGGGTGGCTTCTGGCCATCCTTCCTCTCTAGAGGTAGCTGTGGGCGCCAAACAGTAAGCAGAGCCCCAACCCAAGCCCAGGTCTTGACTCTGACGCTCCTGGGTTGTGTGGTTTTGCACAGTCCATGGATACCTCTCTGAGCTTCCAGTTTCCCTCCTGTTCTAAAACTTATTCTAAGACAAGTCTTAAAGTCTTAAGTCTAAGTTAGGTATTGTTATTATTAACGATTCATATCTAGTTACATGGTTCTACATATTTTCTGTTTTGAGAAGTTTTGTGTTTGATGAAAGTCCCTGCCAAAATCCTAGTGTCTGGGTGAACTGTTATTCCTTTTCTTTTCTTTTGCTAAGGAAGTTAAAGTAGATGTCTTATGTGATATGTAGCAGATACCTTTGTTCCAGAGAATATGGGCCTTCTTAGTAAAAGGGCAGGATGAGCTTGGAGAGATGGGGCTCGTAAAAGGTTGTGGAACATCCGCGTAAAGCCGCCTCAGTGCTTTTCCTCGTACCGTCCTTCACGGTGCCGTAACTCGCCTCTCCTTCCCTGGGTCTTTCATCATGTCTTTGTTTTATGAAAAAGCTTTTTTTCATATGTTTCCTTTGTCATTTTTAAGTTTCTTTCAAAAGGTTTTCACTTTCTTTCTGTGCTTCAGCTTTCCGAAGAAGAGAAAATTCAGCGATACAGCATCCTCTCTGAGCTCTATGAGTTGATCGGCTTCCACCGCAAGTCGGCGTTCTTCAAGCGCGTGGCTGCTATGCAGTGCGTGGCCCCGAGCATCTCGGAGCCTGGGTGGAGGGCCTGCTACAAACTCCTCCTGGAGACGCTTCCCGGCTACAGTCTGTCCCTGGATCCAAAAGACTTCAACAAAGGTACTAAAAGCCTCTTGCTGGAACCAAAGTGTCGCTTTAATTCAGTTATCCGTGTGTTGTTTGAGCACTGCTCTACATGTCACGCACTGTAATTGGTGCTGGGGTTCAAAGATGACTGAAGCCCTGTCGTGCACCTGGGTACTTACGATAATAAAATTACAGCCAAAAGTAGTAGAGCTTTGCTTGGGGGCTGGCATTCTTAAATCTTTAGCAGTGCAAGTCGGAAATCTCCCCTGAGCTCATTGCCATGGTGTATCATCCACAAAACCTTAAATACCTAGTGAATTTTACTTATCTTATGAAATCTAGCCAAGTTAGCAGAAATCAATCAAGCCAGAATAAATATCCTTGGGTGTATGTGTATACATATAGGTATGCATTTGGTGATAAATCCTTACTCTGAAATATTAATGCAGGCTAGTACATATTAAAAATAAAACTATAAATCTAATAACAAGTATACACAAATGTAATGCCCAGTATCAGGCAAAGTCTGACTAGCAGGAGAAAAAAAAGACTTTTAGCTACTGTTTTGGGTAGGAAATAATAGCCCTTTTCTCCAGTTCCCATCTAGAGTTCGTACAGGCATAGGCTTCTAGACAGGAAAAGAGCTGAGGTGCCATCCAGGTTCTTGTCCCACAAGGGCAAAAATGGGCTGTCCTGCGTGTTGTTTGTATGGTCACATGTGTCAACTTAAAGACCTGTACTGACCTGAGATGCTCATGGTCTCAATGACGAGTCCAGTTCTGCTTTTGGATAATTCTAATTATTAGCTCTCCCCCCACATTGAGTAAAAACATCACCTTCCTCCTCATTTCCCCTACTGGAATATCTCACGGCGCGTCTGCTTTTCCTTTCGTGTCCGTTCATTCAGCAGTGGTTTTTTGCACCCTTGCCTGGTGTCACGGTGTGTTCTGTGAGCGAAGCAGAGGTAAAGAAGGCAGTTCCTGCCCTCTAAAATAAGAACACACAGGCAGTTTCTCGCATATGGTGACCCTCCACGTGTTCGCAGAGAGCTCTCAGGTCCTTCCAGAGCCTTCCTCTGATCCATCTCCAGTTCTGTGATAGTTCCTCGTAAGTTACTCTCTCCAGACTTCCAACATTCCAACCTTCTTCCCAAAGCAACACTGATTTGATCGAGTCCGTCTCTGTTAAAGCACATTCTCAGCATGAATTCTGATTAGCTTAGAGCAGGGGTTGGCCAATTTTTTCTGTCAAGGGCCAGATAGTAAATATTTTAGGCTTTGGGGCCATGTGGTCTCTGTTGCAACTATCCAGCTCTGCTGCTGTGGTGTGAAAGCAGCCATAGACAACATGTAAGCCAGTAGAACTTTATTTCCTAAATAGTGGCTGGCCAGATTTGGCATGCAGACTACAGTGTGCCATACCGCTGAGAGCATAGAGATATCTAAAATTTTTTTTGGCCAAAATTACTTAAAAATATTTTTTCAAAATGTTTTCCAAATTCATTTAGAAGAAAGGACCTGGGGTTTGGAAGAGCAAAGGGAGACTGAGTGAGCAGCATAGCAGATGGAGGGTCTTTGCATGCGGCCTTTGGGAAGTGAAGGGGTGCTGGAATGGAACGAACTCATTCTTTCATTTCGCCTCCCACTCCTGTGGAGGGAAGAGACCTAAAGCTGATGGGACGGGCTGACTCTGCGTCTGGCGAGAGCACTTCCGCTCTGGCCTGCGGTGCCCCGGTCTGTGTGGTGGGAAGAGCTGAGGCTCAGTGGATAAGCATGTGTGCTCAGGAGGGTTGCTAGGAGTGGAGCAGCCCTGGAGTTTTGTCTTTAGGGCCTAAGTTGTCCTGCCTCTCTGCAGCCACAGCAGGGAGATTTGGCAGGCCCATTGCTAACTGGGCACACTGTATACTTTTCCATTTATGCAGCCTGAGCGCATGCCCTTTTTAAATTGGGCTCGCGTGATGGAGCCTTTTCACGTGACCTTGTCAGGTCTCCTCCATCCTGTACCCTTGCTGTTGATTTTTTTGTATTAAACATGGGACTTGACTTTTGTCTGTGTTGGGTATTATCAGTGATTGTGGCTCACTATGACTGTTAGTGGAGGAATTTTGAAACTAAATTCCGTCCCTGGCTTTTGTCTCAGCCATTGGCGATGGTCCAGCTGAAGAGGTCGAGCGTAGACTCTCTGGAAGGTCTCGCTCTTCAGCAGACATTTGTTGGTCCCTGCTTTGTGCTGGACACCACGCCGTGTGCTGAGGATAAACCACATCTGAATTCGCTCACTGGCCACTCTCTACCAGCTCCTACTTCACCATCTTACCCAAACAGAAATTGTGACAGATTTTTCCCACCTGCCGTGTCATCTGCTCTTCCTGTCTGGAATTTCTTTTTTCTCTGTTTTCTCCTAAGAGATCGGATGGAAGCTAAGGTTTGCTGAGCACCTGTTTCATGGTTGGCACTTTTAGATGGGCAGTGAGTACTATGTAAAGTACTACTGACGATCCTGTGATTTCAGTGCTGATGTCTCTTTTACAGACAAGGAACCCCAGGGCGGTGGCAGAAAGGTACTTCCCCAGAGACTGTCCTAATTTCCACATGGCACCTCTTGGGGGCCTTTAACTGGTTTCTCAGGGCTGCTTCTACTCTCTTTGAACAGCTTTGCCCCAGCTGTGGTCACAGGAGTGTCTTTAGTGTCTGAAGCACCAAGACCATGTGGTGTTGGACAGAACGTTATCTTGGAGCCTGAGAACAACAGGAACTTGCAATCAAGAAATGAAAACCTTTCAGTGGGTCCTGTCACTGCTCATGGAGTGCCTGGGCCAGCCCTCTGCCTGAGCTGTCCCCGCTCCTGCTCTCTGTCCCTGGGCCCTGCGCCTGTCACCTTACAGTGCCGAGCCAGCTGCTTTCCCACGCTGGTCCAGGTCCAGCTCTTCTTCAGTGGCAGGCTGGGGGAAGTGTGGAGTGAGGCCTGGGCATATGTGCTTGGAAAATTCTCACATGATTCTTAGAGAATGATCCAGCTTTGACCCTCTCCTTACAGATGGGGAAGTTGGGGTCCAGAAGGGCAAGGTGGGCTCCACTTAGTGTTGTTTCTGCTGGGAACACTCCTTGGTAATGGAGTCAAGAAGGGGGGAGCCTGAGAGTACGGCTCTAGGTCCAGGCTGACCAGGCAGGCAGAGGACAGTGAAGAAAGGAGAGGAAGGGTGTGATGTGTGATTAGGGAGTCGCTGGATTTTGGGAGCCAAGGTCAGACTCTGGCAGGATGAGGGGTTTGGGATCCAGATAAGATTTGCCGCTGCGCTGGGCTGGTGTGTTTTGCAGGAAGCTCGCCTGGGCTGGAGCTACAACGAGGACAGCAGTGAAGAGACCACGCAGGTTTTCAGGAGAGCTTGGCTCTTGGGTCCTCGCTGGCCTACGTTTACTTTATTCATATCCACTCAGTGCCAGCTTTCTGGGGAGTGGCTTCTGGGCTGAGGCTGTTTCTGAATTCCTGGCCTCTTTGTAGCCACTCTGGCGGTCTGGTTGTAAGCGCCTTTCTGCTTCTCAGAAGAGAGACATGGGAGACAAGAACAAGGCGTGTAAACTGAACAGTGCTCTTAGGAGTGTGTCACAGCCATGGTTTGCTCTTAAAGGTGAGGAGCAGGGAACTAAAAGGTGACAGGAAGCTTGTTGGCCTCCCTTACATGCTCTTCTGAAACGGGGGGTGACTTCCCATCCTGTTTCCTCTCAGCACATTAATAGGTAGAAGACGAGCAGCAGAGAAGGAGCACTTAGAGGTGTGCAGTCATCACCCGTCTGTGTGGACTGGGTGCACCCGGATGTGCAGGGGTGTCTGCAGTCAGCATACGGGTGTGCAGCACAGAGAGTGGACTTACTTCTATTTCCGTGTCACCTGTGCCTTGGAGAAGTGCTGTTTTTTTTTTAATAGTAAGAGTTAATTGTACCATGTTCCTCCTACCACCACACTTTCCCCTGTGTGATTTTATTTTTTTACTTTTTTTTTTTCTGTGAGGAAGACTGGCCCTGAGCTAACATCTGTGCCAGTCTTCCTCTGCTTTATGTGAGATGCCTCCACAGCATGGCTTGACCTGTGGTGCTAGGTCCACGCCCAGGATCCGAACCTGCGAACCCCAGGACACCTAAGCGGAGTGCACGAACTTAACCACTATGCCACTTGGCTGGCCCCCTATTTTTTTTAAAGATAGATTTTTTTTAAGAGCACTTTTAGGTTCACAGCAAAATTGAGTGTAAAGTACAGAGATTTCCCATATCCCCTTTGCCCCCGCACAGCCTCGCTCATTATCAACATCCCCACCAGAGTGATGCGTTTGTTACAGTCGATGAACCTATACTGAACATGTGATCACCCAGAACCCATAATTTCCGTTCAGGTTCACTCTTGGTGTTGTGCATTCTGTGTGTTTGGACAAATGTATAATGACATGTACCCACATTATAGTGCCATACAGAGTATTTTCACTGCCCTAAAAGTCCCCAGTGCTCCATGCATTCATCCCTCCCCCACCCGCCACAACCCCTGACGACCATTGATCTTTTTACTGTCTGTTTGGTTCTGCCTTTCCCAGAATGTCATACAGTTGCAATAATAGTATGTCGCCTTTTCAGATTGCCTTCTTTCAGTTAGTAATATGCATTTAAGGATCCTCAATATCATTTCATGGCTTGATAGCTCATTTGTTTTTAGTGCTGAATAATATTCCATTGTCCAGATGGACCATAGTTTATTTATCCGTTCGTCCACTAAAGGATGTCTTGATTGTTTCCAAGTTTTGGCACTTATCAATAAAGCTGCCATAAATATCTGCGTGCAGGTTTTTGTGTGGATGTAAGTTTTCAGCTTCTTTGAGTAAATACCAGGGCGTGCTATTGGTGGATCATGTGGTAAGAGTATGTTTAATTTTGTAAGAAACCACCAAACTGTCTTCCAAAGTGGTTGAACCATTCTGCATCCCCACCACAATGAATGAGAGTTCCTGTTGCTCCACATCCTTGTCAGCATTTGGTGTTGTCAGTGTT